TCCCTTTACCCCCCCCCCCCCCAAGAGTTGCGCCCCTAGACAGATATTGTCTAGCACTGTCTTATCTAGTAATGCTGGATGCAATTAAATGTCTTTCAACTGTCTGTTTTCTTACCTTAGCTTACTCTGGGCATGATCAATGGATAATGAAGTAACATGTTGATATATTTTGCTGAAAATTGGTCTTGGAGCAACAGTGACAACAAATAGACAATTTATATAACGAAGAAACAATTGCATTATAAATTGTACAATGTTCATTATTTAAAATATTAGATCTATACAGTCGCATGTAAAACCAACATCTTTATTGCATTGAATTCCTAAAAATTAACAGCATGATACTAGTCCATAATCACATATTTTTTATATATATTGCAACGGTGGAATTTCATACATAAATTTAATATGTTATTGTTAAAACCATTCTTTGTTGAGATCAGAAGTTGATAATTTCTCATATTTGGCTGGAAAATTACTACCATTAGATTTGAATATTCAATTTCATCCCCATTTTCTTGTTCCACTGTGATACATTGTAGTGATTGTACAGTACAATAATAGTGTCTCTGCAGCTCTGCTCTAATTTCCTGGAAGCATACCTGTAGATTTTATTTTTGTGGAGGTAACCAGCCTGCAGATCAAAATTTAGCCTCTGAACGAGAACAAAATGCCAAGTGTGCCGCTAGATAACTAGCTCCAAATGATTTTTGGAGTTAGAAATACAGCAAGCTTCAGGCTTACATACCTAGCGGCTAGGCTGGCTCGCCTCGCTACACATACTCTTTGGAGTTAGGCAGTTAGCCTAATTTCGTGCTTTTTGGAGTTATAATGTTATACCTAGCTCCAAATGATATTTGGAGTTAGCCAGTAACTCCATAATTCATATTTCAACTCAGTTAGTTTTGAATTACTCGAGTGTTTATTTTGGTTTGGAGGTAGCGTCGCACAGTACAGGCACGCCTGCGTCGCCTGGAAGGGGCTCTATACTATAAAGAACAGTCTATTATATTTATATTATTATTATATATATTTTGTATTATTATTAGGATCTAGTTTAAGACGCGAGCAAGTCAGTACATCAAAACACTTAATAAAAAATACGTGTTATATTATTTGCACTGATAACGTCCAACCTTAGGAGTTACGGATTGACGTGGTCCACAAAACAAACTAATTCATTTACTGTTTAAACCCTTAGCCCTGGTCAAACGAGCTAGATAAGAGTTGATGAGATTTGATAAGACAGCATGCATAGTAGTTTGCGGAGGACAAGAGTTGCATGAGAGTCGGTGAAATTAAAGTTGTCAAAGTAATTCTGATCTGTTGCTCATATACG